TTTTTAAATTAGAAATGAAATAGGATGCGCAGTTAAGAAATAATTTTGCTTTGCAATTTTATTCTCCTAAAAAAGTAAATGTAAATTCTTCTTGGTGGCGAAAACATGAATTTTTACAATAGAAAGAAGTGTTTTGTTCAATATTAAGGTATTAGGCATGCCTGTATAAAAAACGTTCTTTTACCAAAATTAGTTACGCTGTTAGAATTTCCACTCTAAAATTTTAGCAAAATAACCGACAGCAGTCTTTTTATTCAATTGAACATAAAGTTTACAGCAAAGAGCATTTTTTTATCTTTACGGTTTTGAAGCAGTAAACAACTAGTATGGTTAAAAAAAAACATGAGTATAAAACTATACAGCTTTCAAACCATTTACAACTAGCATAGTTTCAAAACCAGAACAAGGAAATTAAACTAGACTTGCAGAGATTTTAGTAGCTTTATCGTGCTGCAAGCTATGCGTAAATGATACCATCGTACTCTAATAGACAGGACACTGGGAACTCTTCATTGTTGTAAGGAATGGAGGAAATATAGGAGTATCGACACTGGAACTCGAACCCCTCTTCTGTCGGTCACGAGATTGTCTGATTAGCCATCTCGGCTGTAATATGTCCCCAATTGCAAGGAACTAAGTAGCTTCATTAGGTGAGGCAATAAAATTCTGGTTGTTTAATCGTATTAGATGAAATCAGTTAATAAACGATTTTTCAAGCAGTTAACTGTTTGAATACCATCTTATTTATGTTAATTTGACTGTTTTCTTTGAATCTGGTAAAGTAACAATTAAATAAATTGTTACTTAACCATTTTAACTGAGAAATTTCGAACAGTGTAGATTCATCCTTAAATCAAAACAATAAACTGTAATACTCGAATAATAATAACTCGAATGATTTTCAAGTGTAATGCTGCACTCATACTAACAAGTTAAAGGGCCTGTGAAAATATAATTTTAACCACATCTCAAAATTGTTACAAATAATGGTTTTTTAGAATGTTTCTGGAATAAAGCGGTATAATATCCTAGTAAGCGATGAGAAGTTTTTTTTCTTTAGTTTTTTACTTATTGGAACTTTCAGGAATTCTAAATCACCTATCAGAAAAAAATATTCATGAACAGTTTCATTAAAATATGTCACAATTGAAAAAAAAAGGATGTCATATCTTTTTTATGTTGTTATCCTAAATATTTTAAAGGCTTTGCAATATTAGTTATTGAAAAGCTGCGCATACTTGAAAAAGATAAAAATTATTTTGGCCGTAAATATAAGAGGAATTCAAATATTTACGCGAGTAAAAAATTCCGGTAAAACTAATGTAATATTTCAGGTAAAAAAAAAAAAAAAAAAAAAAAAAAAAAACCCTATAATTACANAAAAAAAAAACATAATTCTGGTAATAAAACCAAAAACCATTTATTTATTAATTTTCCCAGTAGCAATTTATTGAAAATTCTGGTATTGAAAACTATAGTTCGTATTGGCACATATTTAATATAATATACAAAGCGCAAAAGTAAGTTTAATAAAATGAATAGCTTTTATGCCGTGCTCTAAGGTATGATACAATTACAACATTTTACCACTTCTATGAAATATAATAAATTAATAATAAATTTACATTAATTTAAGTGTTTATTTTTCTACTTTAATTTATTCAATATTAGCATTAGTGAAATATCATCAGTGGTAGACGGATCATGGGTTAGAGTCCCCTTGCCGTCAGGCTAACCGTGGTAGGTTCACGTGATCTTCCTCTAAATGTGACGCAAATGCGGGTTAGCTCCATCAAAAAGTCCTCCACTGTGGCAAATTTCCCCTATACTGGATCCAGGAGTTCCCTTGACTTCTGGATTGGGTTCAAAATTACAAGGCTACGAAGTTGAACATTAGTAGTCGTAAACCCAAAAATTGGGTCGGCTGTTCAACAACGGTTATAAAATAAAATATTAGTATTAAAACACAAATATTTGATCAAATAATATATATTTTTAAAAATTTCTTTTTTATTGAGTTAAATGTATATACACATAATGTAAATATTTGATTGCTCTTTACAGCACTTTATTTTAAAGTAAATTGCTGTTAAAATATATCTATATTTTTTCCTAAAAACATAAGAATTTGAAAAAAAATAAGTGCCTCTCTTATGAATATTTAATACAATTAAGTCTTGACTATACCTCAATTTAAGAATAAATATATTTGCCAACATAATAGATATACTGAGAGCAAGAAAATTTCTATTATATTATAAATATATTTAACTTTGATAGTTCCTGTTTTATTTGCATTGCATTTTTTAAAAAACATTAATTTTGAAATAAATGTAAAATTTGAACTCATAACTAATGCACTGCATAGTTTTTCCTTGAAAATATTATATATTTCAACTGGCAATTATATGCATATCTGAATTAAATGTATGTTTTAAATTTGTTTTTTAATTTACCAACAACAATAAAATTTAATGAATTTTTTAATTTACCAGCAGCAGAACATTTGAAATAGTTCAAATATATGAGTTTAATAATTGTTATTTTAAATTTTAAATATTATTCTAGTTATTGTCTATGTTGTATAAAGTTAACAGTGTAGTTTCATACACCGGAAACATTATTTTTTTATGGAATAGATATTCTATATTTTCTATATATTGGAAGTTTTTTTTATCATAATATCAAAAATGAAAGAAAAACTAGCAATGAATAAAGCACAGTTAGTTTTTGTAATATATAAATGTTTAAAAAATTAGCCATATAATTTATAGTATGTACGCAATGCTCATTTAATATTAATTTTGAAACGAAATTTGCAATAACAAAATTCATGCAACAAATAAGATGCAATTTTAATTCACACCGATTTACCCTATTGAGTTTACGAATGAAACAATGCACAGAAATTGGAAGCAAACAAAAGTTAACAGTTATATAATGCTTATAAATATAATGTTAACAGGTATATAATGCTAATGCTGCATATATATACTTTTCGGCTAGCTCAGAGATTCCCAAAGTGGTCTATATCGACCCCCAGGGGTCGACGACAGCCTGCAAGGGGTCCATGTCAAGTGGAAAAAAAAATTGGGGGTTCATGGAAGGAAAATGGGGGTCAACGACAGTGGATCTCATATAAGTAGGTCCTGCTTTTAATTTTGGCATTTCATGAATAAAATAATCAACATACACTGATAGTGCCTACTTACTTACGTTATACAATCTTATAATATAAAGACATATATCTATCTACATTCTGCATAACTTATAAAAGTATGGATGAAGTAAAAATTTTATTAACATTTAAGTTATTAGGATTATTTTTTGATTTATGAAACTGAATTATTATAAACGAGTACGTTTTTATTTTCTCTGCTTGCAAGGTTTTGTTTCGTAACAAAATAGTATTTTTCTGCTGTAAATTGTAGCCTAGCCTGCGTCAACTCTTTAGCTAGCTAGACCTCCAACTTTATCTGTGCACAAGATTACGGAGATTTGTCGCTTAGCTTTTACGTGAAAACGTAATAAACAGACCGACAATACACTACTACGGTTTTGTACACACATTTATTTAAGCAATTATAATATTAGTAGCTGAGTACAGGTTTCATAATGCACTATTTTATTCCATTTACATATTAATTATATTAAATTAGTTTGAATTTAATTAATAAATGTAAAAAATTAACATGTGTTATTTTCTTAGGTTTTTTCCCTCTACACTTCACTACAGCTGAAAATTTAAGTCTTTCACAGTGAGTAGCCCTATACCTGCTGTCAAAAATACATTTGAAGCTGATGAATTTACAAAAACATTAATATCCGGTAACCCAAAACCGAAAAACATGGCAAGGGGTCTACGAGACTAATAAGTTCAGGAACCACTGGACTCGCTGGACTCAAGCGAAAAGTAGCCAAAAAAAATGTAGATCAATACAATTTTCAAAAAAAAAAAATTTTTTTTGTTTTGTTTTACATTTTATAACCGTCATTGAAGAGCCGATCCAATCAAGGGCTTGTGACTACTAATGTTCACCTTCGTAGCCTCGCAATTTTGAACCCAATCCAGAAGACAAGGGAACTCTTTATCAAGTATTGAAAGAAATTTACTTTCGTGGAAGACTTTTTAATGGAGCTAAACCACATTTGCGTTACATGGAGAGGAAAACCACGAGAACCCTTAGGGCTAGCCTTACGGGGACTCTAACGCGTGATCCGACCAACACTGAAGATATTTTATGTCAGCAATGTGGTTTGTGCAAGCCGGGTGCGGAATTAGTATTGACCAGCCATCGCTGAGAAAAGTATCAGACAACACTATAGAGACTCTGAAAAATATTAAATTAAATAAAAAAAAATGACAAATATTTCTAAGAAATAGTTAAATTGCTTTTCTTGAGCCAAGCTAACCCAAAACAGCTTTTTCTTTGAAAAAATCCAGTAAAAATCAGTCCATTAATAAAATTAAATACATTTAATATCAATTCTGAAAAATTTAAAAACCAAAATTCAACATACATATTTAATTTCATTTAGATCATTTCTGTTAATATCCTTTGATTTACGTAAATGAATACACATAGAATTTGATTATGCAAATAAATGCACCTAGAGTTTTGACAGAATGTTTTAAACGTAAAACTCACCCTTCATTCTTATAATATATTGTATAAATATCCTAATGCGTGCATATATGTATTTTATTTCATATTAGGTCTAAAATAAAATTTGTATAAAAAATGATAATCGGTATTGTTTTTTAGCATATTTTTAAAGACAACATGTATTAAAATAATGCTAACAAAAACAAAAATAGATATATTTATCTTTAAAAAGTTAATGCGCTGTTTTTTCTCAAAAACTCATGCTCAAAATACAAATTTGCACGAATTTGAACACTGATTAGGAAAAGTCTTTATAAAAATTAATAATATTATGTATATAAACATGGACATTTAAGATTAATTCTGAAATGAAATATATAAAAATTAACTCACCCTGTGTATAATATAACTTAAAAAACAATTTCATACTGGTTATCATGAAGTTAATTTATTCACAAAACTAAACAGTCTTAATAATTAGTTTCCCTAAAAAAGCACACTGTCTACTATTTTGAGAACTATTTGAGTACATGAAAATTATTTTCATGAGTTCAAACTCTTAACCCGCCTATCATTTTTAGAAATGGAGTCTTGATGCTTTCTCCAAAACGAGGAAGTTCTGATAAAATAGGATTTACGTTCACGCAGTTGTCGGGTATGTCAGATATCATTACACCATGTGTTCTTTTGAATTATTTTTATTTTATTCTGACAGAAAAGGTCGAATTTTACATGCTCATTTTATTGTGTTAACCCACGCGTGAAAATAAAAATTAAGTTGAACCGTGTGTCGATTTCGTAGTATTTTGCTTTCATAAACGTGTTTTTTTATTGTTTAAAATGATCAATAAGTCATTAATGCATTGTTTGAGTTTTTCCGATTTTCCTTGTTCGAATTAAAATGATTTTTATCGGGTGAAGAACTGTTTTATTTATCGATGTTTTTTTTCTTTCTTTTTTTTTGAACTTGAAAAATGTTTCATACTTTTTCTTTAACATATTAAGCATAGTTGTTAATATTTGGTTCATAATGAAAATATTTTTCGGTATGTAAAATCAGTTAATAATTAGTATTTTATAGTTTGGATTTATGCCTATTTTTAACGCAAGAAAGTTTTTTTCAGGTTTTTCGAATGAAGTAATCATATGCTGAGAAAAAAGTATAGTCACAACAGACATAAATACAGACAAAAGTATAATCACAACAGACCAGAATATGGTAAATGTCCCATTTTTCCTGCTCTAGGGGAACCTTAAAAAGCTCCGTAATTCTTATCGAAGAGCATTGACAATAGTATTGATAAAATTATGAATTAAATATGGTTTTAAAAATGTTATAAAATTAGGTTAATGCGCTAAAATTTAGTAATTTGTTTCTTGATTTCTTAGCATGGCATTAAAACCATTTATTTGGCTTAATTTACTATTCAGTTTCGGATTTTTTACAAAATGTGTGGTAATAAAAACTCTAATTTTGGAATATTAGAATTCCCGGTAAACTGTTACTATATGTACCAAAAAAATTATCAAATGATTGGTTTCAATGCGCATATTTTGGCTTTATTAACCAGAATAATGTTTTTTTTTTCATTTTTACCAAAAGAGTCATTACTATTTAATACGGCAATTCCACCAGAATTTATTTCTCTGAGTAGTTATTTACAGTTTGATTTCAATATAGACAGATTTCAGTTTGTAGAGTGTATCAATAACTATTTTTGTTTTTGTATTTGGGAAGTTTAAATGAATGTTTATATCAGTGTATTTTTCTGAGCATATTTATAGTTATTGCCAATTTTTATTTATATTTATTGAATTTTTCAAATTTGAATGTATTAAATACAAAATATAATTTTAAATAAAACTACGTTAAATTAAATGTAGCTTAACTGAGCTTGTGTATTTTCATTTAGGTTTTATTAACAAAATCAACTCTCTTTTAAAAAAGATAACAAGAATTAAACATTATGTGAATGAAAATATAATTGTTGTATTAATAGTGCAGTCAATCATTGTTTTAAGGTGTCTTTAGCATGATAGAGAAAGCCATTTACAGTGCAATTTTACTCTGCAATTTTACTCTTGTCTTGATTTTATTAACTTTAATTCTATATTCCATTAACATGATTCTTTTCTCTGACAAAATAGGATTTTAAACATATTATACCAGTGAAATATATTTAAATTTTAAAGACATAAGATGTGATGGTTTGGAATATTATATGAGGAATCAATTGATACAATATTAAAATCAACGAATATATAAAATATTTTTTTGTCATTTTTTAACTTTTGCTTTTTAACTTTGTATATTTTATAAGCTATTTACGCTTGAAAGTTCTGTGCATCCATTTTCTTACATAGGAGTTAGAGAATGTTTTCTGTGGTGAGTTACGAGTAAAATCTGAGGAAAAAATTTCAAAACAATTTTCGTACACAAAGTTGCATTAAAAATAAAATAATTTTGAACTCCTATGCAATGCACATATTTAATAAATATACTGAAGGGTTTGAAAACGTTTACTCCAACTCTATCTTTAGCAGAAAAGTATCCTAAGAAAACAAATAAGAAAAAACATTCATGTAAAAAAGTAATTTCTTTAAAGTTAGAATATTTCAGAGTATCGTCCACCTAAAATTACTCATTACCTTATTATTAATAAATAATAATAATTTAATATAAGCCAAGAATCAAATAATAATTTAACATAAAAAATATTTTTTTTCGATACTTTTGTCAATTATTTTGTACTCTGACCCCTTAAAACAAATAGAATTTATGATAAGAAAAACATTACATATTTAAAGGCATTAAATTAATTTTTTGTATAGATTTTTAGTTAGTTTTATTCAATTAAGCAATCTACCTCTGATAAGCATTTTAATGAATGATAAGCAATTTGAAAACTCAAAAGATTATTTTTTAATAAAACTAATGATTACAAGTTTATTATGATGACAAATATCTGTTAAAACAATAACTCTATATAATTAAAATTATATGACGTCCTATTTAAAGCAATTAGTTTCACTCCATTTATCTATAATACTAATTTTATTATGTGTTTTTATTTTGTTAGTTCAAGCCCCTTCAGTAGTATTAAGAGTATTAAGAAAGTATTAAGAGCGACTAGTTAGCTGGTTGAGCAAAATAGTCACTCTTAATACTTTTTCATCTATCGGAAAAATTCAGAATATCCCCTTAAAAATGAACGACTACTGAATAAGATAAGATTGTAAGCATCAAAACCTGTTTGATTGCTGTAAGCAAATTGAGAGATTAAAAAAAGGAAATGGTATTAGAATACGATATTTATTTAAACACTAATTTACTTTTCTTTACAACTGATGTATAAGTTCAAGTCATGCTTTCAAAAAATAGCGGTAATATAAAAAATACATATTTTGCGCATTTTAGTAAATAATTGAACTCTACTTTTTCAAGCATAATGGAATGTTTTTTTTTAAAGAAAACTTCATTTATAAATATCTGTTTTAAATCAATCGAAACAAAATCTATTAGCACTTAACGTCTTCTTTAAGAAATTTATAATATGTTTTTAAAATGTTTTTTATCCGAGTTTTGACAAATTTGCTTCTTTTTTTTAGCAAACACTCTTTATGAAAAAAAAACAAATTCATTAAACATATTTAATATTGATTATCAATTTCCTTAAAAGTAATGATAAAAAAGAGAGGCTTACTTCTTGGATTGATATTTCCTTAAGATAAGTGTAAGAAAGGGACAATCATTTGAAAGCTGATAAGGAGTCAAATTATTACTTTTCTTCTTTTATCAACTCTGTTTGTGATGTCTTCAAAATTTCGGCTTGCTTTGTATCCATTAAATTTGATAAAGTTTGTAAATAAAGGTGCCACCGGATTAAAGAATCATGATTTTCATTCATAATGATAAAAAATTATCCATTCTATCCTGAAAAGAAAAACAACAAAAAATATATTATAAAAGATCAGACTTTATATCTTTTAAAGATAATATTTTACTATCAGAGATTAAAACATTTTTAAATAACGCTTAAAATCTCTGATTGTGCTTAGAAAACTGAGTGCTATTGCAGTATGCTCTCAGAAAAATTAAGCTAATATAGAAAAATAGGAAGGAGAACTTATTAATATGAATATAGTATATTAATTCACCATTATTACCCATTAACAAAATGGGTCTTATTTTGAGTTTGATGGCATGCGCATCTTATTCGGACGTCTAAGCAGTGCGAATGCGTCGTCATTGCATGCGTTGCTATGGCGACAGCTGTTGTTTGATAATTTTTTTCAGAATTCTTTTTTTCACTTTTAATTTTATTGTGCATTAAGTTGGCGAGTTTATTTATCTTTAACGTCGATTAGTAACATAGAGTCTTCAATTTGAGGTAATATTTACCTGAAAAACTTTCTAAATTAATTACAGTGTAATCATGTGGAGCAGAAAACGTTACAAATAAATGAACAGCAACCTTATAAAATCATATAACGTAATAGAATAGTTACAAATTATGTAAAATAAATGCAACAATTATCACAGAATTGAGAAATACCTTAATTACTTTCATCCTTAATTCGAGGAACTAAAAATGTATCCATCAAAAAAAAAAATCCTTGTCTTAAGAAATGTACGTTTTATTCATGATTTCTGATTTATAGCACTATTGATATTACATTATATATGACAGACACAAGTAAAAAAAAACACTACGTTAATGTGAGGTTTCTCTAATTATCCTTCAATACATATAAAACAGATGCTGTTATGATTCATTAAAGAAACCCATCATAGGTACAAAGTGTTATGATCTTTCTCTTCCAAGTTAAATTAACCCTCCTTTTTTGAATAAAATAAAATGGTAAATCAACAATATCGAAGCAATATTCCAAGTTGATAATAAAATACAGAGAAATTCTTAATAAACGTTATGAAATTATATTTTAAGAATCTTTATGAATATAGAAGGCAAAAAATATTCATATCATAAAATTATTTATATTAAATATTCTAAGTGAATAAAACAAGGAAATGCATATAACGAAGTTCAAGCAGGACGCAGTAAATGTATGGTTACGTAGGCCTTTTTACACTTCATTTCATATACTATATGCAATTTCAGCTGTTTTAATACCCCCTATGTTGTACATTTTGGGAAATTAGGATAGAATAAAATGTTTTTATAAATGTTCTTAAAATTTTTTACTGCATATGAAGGTGTTTCTGGTAAATTTCACTCGCATTTTTAAACTTGAAATTATTGTCAAAGATCCATCTAAAAAGAATAATGGGTAGTAACTCAAATGCAAAGTGGGCCTTTTTTTGCATAATGCATTAATTATAACTAAACGATTAAACTTGTTGCGAAATTGACAGAATGCAGAACTATTGGGATAAAGCTTTTATATAGTAGAAGCGTTTAACGTTTACCAAAACAAAACATTAAAAAAAAATTAAATAATTTTAATCTATTAAAATTTCTTTTACAGGTGACTAAGTACAATCTTTTGATAATATTAACTGCTACACTCGTTGCCAAACAAAATGAAATAAAAAAGAAAGGAAAAAAATAAAAAAGAGACTGACGTTAATAGTTACAGAAAATATCGTTTGAGCTTTCGCTTTAAAATCTACTTTTTATTGTGATATATCAACGGGATATCTGCAAGTGACGGTAAGTGTGGATACCTCGATCCTGATTGGTCATTGAAACGTGTCATTTGCTTAGGTTAGCAACTGTTCTTTCTATTCGATTTCGAGTAAGCCAATCCCACCAATTATCAATTCACGTGAGTAACATATTCTGCATTCTTCCACAAAGATTTCAATTCTTTCACTATATGGTTCGTACTTAACACAGAAACAGGCACGAAGTCATGTAAAACATAAACAAACTAATTATGCATCGAAGTTGCCAGGCACACAAAGCAAAAATATAGCATGATTACAATAAAATACGTAAATTAATAATTCTAAGTTAAGTAAAAGAAGTAG